ATATATATATATAGAGGCAGATTTTTGCAATCTTTTCTGGAGCCACTCAGGTGGGCTCTCTTTGGCGGCTACTAAACCGCACGGTTCCAGTGAGGTGGGACCTTGGCTCACCTATGTAGATCAAGCCTTTCTTACTTTCTCCGTTTCATGATTTGTATCATTCGATTGATGTACTAAAGCTTTTTGCCGGACTTCTTTGCACCTTTGAGTTTCCCAAATTCACATCTCTTTGAATGAGTGTTTCTTGTAGTGCTTTTTGGTAAATGCTGGCGTGAAGCGCCCCATGTTGAACCCTTGCAGCTGTGAGGCGAGTGAGCAATATGTTAAAAGATCCGCTGGTTGGCGATGTGTTGGTGGTGTGGCTCTAACCCGGTCCAGCCAGTTTCTGGTTGGCATTGTGTCATTGCTCAACAAATGCAAACCAAGAAATGTATGGCGCCTCGGCAAGTAAGCTCCCAATGGCAGGAAGTTTAGCTGACATTGGCTCCCGATTGCTGCACAATTGGTTGGAATTCATTGGCTCCAGGCTTCTTATAAAAGCTCGGCATGTTTAGCCGATTGCCCACATGTGAATGGCTTCGAGCACACAACAGGGTCAAGCTTCAAGGCTTACACAAACAAACCAGTTAAAACCATGGAGCATGGGAGCACACATACAGCATACATGTAATATCACAATACCTTCAACTGTTGCTTTTGAAGCAAGAGCAGGGTTAACACAGTTCAGCTGGAGAGAGTCCACAGTCTGCAGAAATGTCCAAAGGCCAGGTGCAGTTCCACAAAGAACCGCATTCCACGGAATAGATCATATCAAAGAGCTTCATTTTTGAGGTGGATGGGGCGTCGTGCGCCCAGATACGCATGCAGCAAAGAGATTCCATTCACATTTTGGTTGGTGAAACTCTATGGCCGTAGGGAAGACGTGAATTTGGAGTTAACTCCAGGTGAAGTGTTAACTCCAACCCAAGATCGGCCGTTTGCACTGCAGGGCTACGATGACTACAGCTGGATGTCCAAGGGCAAAGGCTCTGGCAAGGACTTTGGAAAGGCACCACGGCACTGAAATCCATGCTTGAGACATTTGGAGACCCAAAGTGCGGGCAGTCCGGACTGACAGGCGGCAATGATGATGTCGATGATGTCCATGATGATGAAGGGGGGCAAAGGAGGAGGCAGCGGAGGTGGAGGCGGAGGAGGAGCTGCTCCAATTTGACAGTTGCATCGGTTTGGCCTTTTTCCAGCTCCTTACTCTTCAAATCGCCATCCTTGGAACTTCGAACGTGCCAGGAAAGGGTGCTGCCAAAGCCTCAGTTTGATCTTCCAATCAGCGCTGAAGAGCTTCATAGCCAAGTGAGGCCTCGCAGTCCTATGGAAAAGGCCTGTTGCAATGCACAGAAGATATCAAAAGATCAGGTGCAACAACTTTTCTCAAATATAAAAGCACTTGATATCATTCAACCTTGGGGCAGGCTTTGAAAATCATTGAGGTTCTTTCAGGTGTGTGACTTTTCGTATACATTTTTCATCATTGTGCCAAGACTTATGATGCCATGTGGTGATTGAGCGAAGAACTGACTACGTGACCTCTGCTGCGTAAGCCCTTGACAGTGTACCCAACTTACAGTCACAGGAACAATTGAAGTCTGATCCAGCAGTAGCTTAAACTCACTGTGAATGAGAAAAGTAGAGAAAGGGAAGAATTACTATGACTATGACTTAGGAGTCACAGTAGTCCGCCAGTCCGCAGTATTATCCTGCCGCTTTTGCAACTCCACCAACTGTTTTGAACCCTGTAAACTGATGCAAATTGGTGAAGACCCTTCTTCACACTGGTGCCAGGCATGGGAAATCCAACTGCGGAGTCTGAGTGGCTTGGCGAAAACAGTCGCAGGGTCGCTGAGGAAACAGGTTGATGTCACCTTTTAACGTCCTCAGGGTGGTCTTTGTGGGTGGCTTGCCACGGGAAACCACGGAGGACACGTCGAACTTGAGCTGAGCTGTTCCTTGGGCCATGGGAATGTGGACACTTTGCCAGTGCAGGAAGCCATCACCCTCCATTTCTCCCAGTTTGGTATGGCCAACTCCTGAGAGCAACACTTGCTCAACGGCTGAGCTACTGAGGGGTCTCTGAAACAACGCAAGCCGCTCGTTATTGGCAGGTGCAGAAGGTGGACATGAAGTATGATGTAACGACCAATGTGTGGCTTTGGGAGCAGCCAGTGGAAGTATGATGAAGTATGTCAGTGTGATTTTTCCCGAATGCGTAGCGAAGGGTTCCCGTTTATAGTTGGGGTCTGGGGGTTGGAGCTGTGTTTGCATGGCTTGCGTCGTCTCGTCGTCTCTCGTCGTCGTGTCGTCGTCGTCGCGTCTCAAATTTGCTGCCATTGGGGGAAGCTTTTGCAAGTGACTTTGCATGGATGTGTCACGTGTCAGCTTGCGCCGCTATTCCATTGTGATTCGCATGACACCGACATGTCGCGCAAGAAACGTGATGCATCTCGCTGCACAGGCGCAGCGTTTTGTGAGATCCGCAGTTTGCTGCGCAGTGCCATTGGGATTAGCGTTTGGAGAGTCGTGTTTTTGGGGTGTTGGATGTGGCCGTGCCATTGGGATTTGCGTTTCAGGGTGTGGCATCGAAGCTCTGTTTTCGTGACAAGTCTCAGCTGAAATGGCGATTTTGGTGGATGGGAGTGTGCTCTGAACGGGTCGAAATCATTCCAAACGTGTGGTGTGGTGCAAATTTGGTTGAAGCTCACATGCGACGATATTGTCACTTTTCGTGGCAGGCGCAGGACTTCGTGCGGGTTTTGAGGCGTGGAAGTGCGATTCTCGTGGCAGGCGCAGGGAATCGTGAGGTTGCGAGGTGTGAGGGAGGTGACATTTCGTGGCAGGCGCAGTACTTTGTGCGCGTTAGACGTGTGGATGGGGAAAGATTCGTGGCAGGCGCAGGGAATCGTGAGGTTGTGAGTTGTGGTAGAGGTGAATGTCGCTGTCACATTGGGATTGGCGTGTGAGCGGATGTTGTTTGGAGGGGCTGGAATCGCGAAACTGCTTGGCAGGGCTGCGTGATGTGTGTGCTCCGATGGGTGTTTCCGCTTGACTTTTGGGGGAGGTCTCGTACGAAACGCTCGTTTTGCAGACTTTGACGTGTGAGTTTTTGAGGAAGTCTCGTACGAAACGCTCGTTTTGGAGACTTGACGCGCAACCCTCTGCGGAGATCGTGCGCGTCGAGTGTGCGAAATGCAGGCTGCGATTTGACCCATGCGCGCGCAACCCTCTGCGGAGATCGTGCGTGTCGAGTGCGCGCAATGCAGGCGAGAGTGCGATTTGTCCCATGCGCGCGCAACCCTCTGCGGAGATCGTGCGTGTCGAGTGCGCGAAATGCAGGCGAGAGTGCGATTTGTCCGGTGCCCGCGCAACCCTCTGCAGAGATCGTGCGTGTCGAGCGCGCGAAATGCAGGCGAGCGCTGGCGACTTTGTAGTACAACTTCAGTACGCGGGGTATCTGGCGAGCTGGAAGATGAGAACTGGTGACTTGGTAGTACAACTTTAGTACACGGAGCAATCTGTGGAGCTGGAAGCTGAGAACTGGCGACTTTGTAGTACAACTTTAGTACGTGGAGCAATCTGTGGAGCTGGAAGCTGAGAACTGGCGATTTTGTAGTACAACTTGAGTATGCGGAGCAATCTGTGGAGCTGGAAGCTAGTACAACTGTAGTACGCGGAGTATCTGGGGAGCTGGAAGCTGAGAACTGGCGACCTTGTAGTACAACTTTAGTACGCGGAGCATCTGGGGAGCTGGAAGAGAGTCCCACAAGAGTGTCCCCCAACAGTGTCCCGCTAGAGTGTCTCGAGTGTCCTACAGGAGTATCCCACAAGAGTGTCCTACAAGAGTGTCCCACAAGAGTGTCCTACAAGACTGTCCCACAAGAGTATCCTACAAGAGTGTCCCACAAGAGAGTCCCACAAGAGTGTCCCACAGAGTGTCCCACAAGAGTGTCCCACAAGAGTTTCCTACAAGAGTGACCCACAAGAGTGTCCTACAAGAGTGTCCTACAACAGTGTCCCACAAGAGTGTCCCACAAGAGTGTCCTATAAGAGTGTCCCACAAGAGTGTCCCACAAGAGTGTCCCAACAGAGTTTCCTACAAGAGTGTCGCGCAAGAGTGTCCCACAAGAGTGTCCCACAAGAGTGTCCTACAAGACTGTCCCACAAGAGTGTCCCACAAGAGTGTCCCACAAGAGTGTCCCACCAGAGTGTCCCACAAGAGTGTCCGACAAGGCTGTCCCACAAGAGTGTTCTACAAGAGTGTCCCACAAGAGTGTCCCACAAGAGTGTCCCGCAACAGTGTAGCTCAAGAGTGTCTCACAAGAGTGTCCCTGAAGAGTGTCCGACAAGAGTATCCCACAAGAGTGTCCTACAAGAGTGTCCTAGAAGAGTGTCCCAAAAGAGTTTCCTACAAGAGTGTCCCACAAGAGTGTCCCACAAGAGTGTCTCACAAGAGTGTCCCACAAGAGTGTCCTACAAGAGTGTCCCACAAGAGTGTCCTACAAGAGTGTCCCACAAGAGTGTTCCACAAGAGTGTCCTATAAGAGTGTCCGACAAGAGTGTCCCACAAGAGTGTCCTACAAGAGTGTCCCACAGGAGTTTCCTACAAGAGTGACCGACAAGAGTGTCCTACAAGAGTGTCCTACAAGAGTGTCCCACAAGAGCGTCCCACAAGAGTGTCCTACAAGAGTGCCCCACAAGAGTGTCCCAGTGTCCTACAAGAGTGTCCTGCAAGAGTGTCCCAGAAGAGTGTCCCACAAGAGTGTCCTACAAGAGTGTCCCACAAGAGTGTC